TGAACAACCGCTAGCTCTGCCTTCAGGCCAGAAGCCGCCCCTGGCTGAAGGGGCTCCTTGTCAGCACCCTGGACACCCCCCCCAGACCCTCTGACACCATGCACGGCCTCCTGAGGTGACCTTCCGGTCAGGTTTCCAGCGGTTGGCAGACAATGGAGTGACTGATATCCCGGGCATTGAAAAGTGCCTGCTTGGCACGCAGGCATGCCAAGCGCAGCAGTCACTTTGCCGGGGGGGGGGGGGGGGGGGGGGGGGGGGGGAGCAGCTCCGCCAGGCTGACTGGGCTGTCACAGCACGGGAGCAACGCACATGCTTTTGCCCCTCTTCAGCAGGTCAGCACAGAACACAAGTCGCATCCCGAAGTAGTCATATTTAGAGTGTGCAGCATGCCATCAAGGAAAGACTCCAGAATGTTCTCTCCATGACCCCCCTGCTCAGCTCTTGTACATTCTGGTAAACGGTACAGGCTGTATCCCCCCCAGTCGGGTCTACCCATCTGATAAGTACTTGGCATAATGCCTTTCAGTATTACAGTATCAATTTCAGTACGAAATTTGGCATTGCGGAGCACCCACTGAAATCAACCTGACAAGCAGGACACAACTCACTTAAATCCTATTGGCTTCAATGGGTCTCCTTTATGTCCTAATTTAGATCCAATCAAGATTTCTCTGTCCCCCCATTGACATCTCATACTCAACTCTGAAATGGCTTTTCTGGGCGAAAGGGAAGCTTTGCACGTTAATGTTTAGAAGGCGATTAGCACATAAATATTACCAAAAATAGATACACAAAGCAATTGCGTTCAGTAGTACTTAATGAACAACTTGTGCTCTGGTAATACATAAACGGAGCCCCTTTTCTGCCATCAAATCAGCCAATCAAAGTTCGATTTTAAATATAAACTCCGAATAAGCAACCTGGTGGGGCCAAAGAATCTTCTATGCCTTTGACCAGATTTTTCTGAACAGCTCCCCAATATCTGCTACTCCTCTTTGTGGCAATAGCCGAGTCCAGCATCCCATCACATCTGAACCCCCCCGGCCCCAATCCCTGCACCTTTCTGTGCGAGGCTACAGGCAGAAGGCCACACATGGCATCCTGCTGGGAAGTGTTTCACAAACACCCCTTCACAGGTCATGGTCATCCTGGGCAGTGATTCTGATTACTTAGGAGTAATGGAAAAGCACTCAGCCCTTGCTCAGAGGCTCTCTTGTGTTTGTTGTATGACTTGAATGGAGTTGTGGAACCGCAAAAGTGACGTAAAATGCACGGGAGCTGTTGAGGAAGTAACATCGCTATACGCACAGCTCGTGATGGCGCCAATCCTTGCCTCTCTCACACACAGGAGTCTTCCAGACAGCACAATTGTCCTGTTTTGTGCATTGTGCTTTTAAGAGGCTTTTTGGGTTCTGGGGCTGCCCTGTGTCCATACCCTTGGCTGAATTAGGACTGAACTAAATGAAATTGGCATTCGTCCAAGGTCAGTTTGCATCGCACCGAGAACCTCGTGCCACACACCAGCTCAGACGCACACCCCCTGCTCCCCACAGGTGTGCCACCTATGCCACCTGTTGCCTCTATCCCCCTCCCACCCCTGGCCATCTTAGAGGAGGCAACCCCTTTGGGGGCACTTCGGCATTTCCTCCCTTCTGTTCCCTCGACTGCCGCCCCCCCCCTTTTTCGTCAGCGGCTTCCACAATAAGACAGGTCAATCCAGGCATCTTCCATGCTGGTGGTCACACGTTTCTCAGCCTAGCCTACCTCACAGGGTTGTTGAGAGGATACGTGGAAAAGGCCACAACAGTTGCTGCCCTGACCCAGGTGCACCAGGATAAATATGTGGGTCAGGATCCCAACAGGTGCCTCCTCAGAGCGTGAGTGAAGAGTGGGTGGATTTCCTTCCCAGCCTGCAGCGCCTCGTGTCCAGAATGGCGTTCCAGTTGAGCCCTGTTGCGCCCCAGCCAGGGCAGATGTAATTATAAGGAGTTTAATCTCTGGGAATCCAGATGGTGCGGTGATTTGATAAGAGCACCAGCCCTTAGGGAACCATCTCATGGAAACAGAAACAGGCTCAGAGCCCCCAGCCCGCCTGCATGGACGAGCATTTAGACTAAGCAGCGTTCAAATTATTCCTGCTTGCCCAGAAAGTTTCCTAGGAGGCCCGGAGTCAGCCACTTTCTCTCAGTCCAACTGCCCTGGAAGTTATAAGGGGAAAAAAAAGCTCCTGCCCACTGCTTGACCTCCTGGGAGGTACAGTAGGGGATAAACATTACAAGCAGGGCCTGCAACGAAATGTTGCAGCGCACAACCTCCTTCTGAAAGGTGGGGGCTCCTGTTTCCGGTTCCCCTTGCCAAGTCCTTCCCTCCCCTCTTTTCCAGAGGGCCGAACATTCTGTGAATACTGAGTATGTTTCGGTGCTTATCAGATGCGGGGGTTGCAAGTTGTCTTCGGATTTGACTGGACGTGGGAGGCCCAGGTTCTCGTCCTACCCCGCCAGCTCACAGCATGGCTTTGGGCCAGTCAGTTCTCAGCCCAAACCTACCTCACAGGGTTGTTGTGAGAAGATGCAGAGCAGGGTAGGCTTGTGTCTGCCGCTTTGGGTCCTTGCAGGAAAACGGCGGGATACAAGAATGAATTGCACTGCCGCGGATCGCCTCGCTATGGAATGCAAGGCCGCCGCGCCACTCGCGCTGCCCCGGGGGGGCCTCCCCGCGAGCAAAGCCTCGCCTGCCTCCGGGCGGCAGAGCCGGCCAGCGGGGCCGCTGCCCAAGCGCCACGTCGGGAGCAGCGGCAGCCCCCCGGGGACCCCCCGCCGGCCGACGCCGCTCTGCAGGCCGGGCCCGCCGCGTCTGCGTGGGACTCCCGCGCGAGACGGCGCCGGGTGCTGCGGGGCAGGGAAAGCTCGCGCGCCGCGGATACAAGCGGGGGGCACCGCGGACCCTCCCCCGGGCGCCGGAGGGTGCGCGACCCCTCCTCCGGTTGCGTGCGTGGCGGGGGGGGGAGGAGAGGCGATAAGGAAGCCCGGGGCCCTTGGGGGAGCCTGCAGGTGAATGGGGGAGGCGCGCGGGCCCCTCCCCGGCCGGCCCCTCCCCCTCCCCGGGGGCCTGCGGTCTCCATGGGCACCGGCCGCGAGGCGCCAGGCTGACAGCGCTCGGAGTTTTATGAATGGGTGACGTCACAGGCCCTGGCGTCTCGCGGTCTGAGTAGCTTGTTAAGACACAGAAACAGCCCGGCCGCGGGGGGGGGGGGGGCGTTTGGCTGCCGCTGCCGCGGCTGTGGGAACGGCTAGGAATGGCTGCACTCCAGGGCGATGGCGGGGAAGGACGGGGGGCCCCGGAGGCGTATTGCGAGCGTTCAGAGCAAACCGATGAGAGAGAGAGAGAGAGAGAGAGAGTACAAACACCCGGAGAGCAAGCGCAGTTCAACGACCGGGCGAAGGAGCGGATCGGGGAGACCTTTGCAACGGGGGCTTTGAGGCTTTCGTGGGACGCGCCCCCGGAAGTGCGCGCGAGCGGCTGCATGCAGCAACCGGGGAGTGTTTTGTCTGGGGGTGCTGGAAGAGGGTGCTTTGTGCTTTGGAAGGAGAAGAAAGCTGGGTGTAAAATAAATAAATGAAGCCCTAAAAATGAGTCCGGCCCCGAGTTGCTTTTGAAGGGGGGGGGGTCCTGATCTTTGGCCGGGCTAAGCGTCCCTGATCCCCTTGAGGTCAAAGGGATTCAAGCCACAAGCTTTGGCATGCTAAGCCAGGAAAAGTCTACAACACCAAGCATTCCTATGCAGCCGGGGACTGTAGAACTCCCTCTCCCGTCTAAAACGGCATAGGATCGCGCTGGCAAGGGCGCCGAACGTGTCTGCGAGGATCGCAACCAGCCGGCTCATGAATTTGGGCTGGATTCATTTACTGCACCAGCCCAGGGACAGCAAAAACCGGACTAGAAGAGAATTCGGGGAGTATCTCACTTGCCTGGTTTATGTACAGCAAAATCCTATGCCTGTTTAGGAAGCAAAACAGACATACAACTCCCAGCCGAGAGCTCGGTTGCGCCTGTGTGGTTGCTCTCTCACAACTTTGCACCCTTAACTGCAGCGGGTGTCTCACCCGCGTGGATCCCTAGGGGTTGGAGGCACTGGAGCTTTAGCTAGTAGCGAGGCAGGGAGTCAGTTCACAGCCTGGGACTTCAGGGCGTGCAAACCGTGGTCGTGGGAATCTCCATCTAGCAAAGAACATGGTTCTCATCGTGCCACGGAGTAAGACCGGGAGCAAGGCGGACCCATCCTGATGCACTCATTGAGACCCGAGGCGTAACGGAGACCAATGGGGGGGGGGGTCCTCGGATCCGGTGCGGCCGAGTGGCTGGGGTTCTCTTTTGCATAATGAATCGACCAGTTTCAAGGAAGATCGCGCGGAAGATCGCGAAGAAATATTAACATAAATATTCTATCATCAATAATATAAATATTGCTTCCCTGCGCTGGAGGGCTGTCGGCGGAATTTAAGACCACGCTTGATTCCGCGCGTGAATGGAGGCGGTGGGAGCCCAGAGGGGAAAGTGGCCACGTGGTCGCTAAAAACGTGTTTACTTTCAAGTGCTTGTCACATTCCTTTCATCCTCCCCTATTTTCCTGAAAAAAATGCCCTCCAGCTCCCTCCACCTGCGATTCCCCACCGCCACCGCTCCTCGGGGGGGGGGGGGGAGCCCAAACGGGGAAGGAATTCCGCGGGCTGCCCGCGCTCGACTCCCCAGACGCATACACACGATCAAACCCTGCGCGAGCCGGGCTGCCGCGCGAGCCAATGAGGACGCCGGAGCGGCGGCGGCACGCCCCCTCCCCTCCGCGCCCCTGCGATTGGCTGCGGGGCCGGGCGCGACCCCGCCCGCCGCCCGCCCGGCCCTATATAGGGCGGCCGCCGGGGCGGCGCGGCGCGGCGCGCTCCGGGCGAGGCGTGGGACGTTGCGCGGCTCCTCCTGCTCCTCGCGCTCTCCGGCTCCCCGGCATGAAGGTGGCCTCCGCCGCAGCGCCCGCCGCGTCGCCCGGCCCGAGCTGCGCCCTCAAGGGCGTGCGCCTGGGCGCCGGGGGCGCGGGCGAGCCGGCGGCGCGCTGCGTGTCGGAGCAGAGCGTGTCGCTGTCCCGGGCGGGCAGCCCGCCCCCGCGCGGCCTGCCGCTGTGCCCCGAGCAGGCGGCCGCCGCCGCCTCGCTGCTCACGGACATGAAGGGCTGCTACTCGCGGCTGGCGGCGCTGGTGCCCACGCTGCCCCGCCACCGGCGCGTCTCCGAGGTGGAGATCCTGCAGCACGTGATCGACTACATCTGGGACCTGCAGCTGGAGCTCCAGCACCCACTGGGTGCCGGGCCGCCCCCGCCGCGGGGCGCGGACGAGCCCGCCGGCGCCGGACCCGGACCCGAGGTGAGCGCCTCCCCGCCGGGCGTGCGTCCCGGGCAGCTCGCGGAGCGCCCGCCTGCTCCGGCAGGCGGCGTGAAGCCCCGCGGGCCCGCCGCCCCTGCCGGCTGTTCCCCGGACGCGGCTTTCCGCTCTGCGATGCTTCCGCGCTGGCCGGCGACTCTCCTGTTGCTTGTGGTCGCCTCACTTGGCTTATTCGGGCTGCCGTTGTGCCGGCTGCCTCGGGGGCCTCTTCACGCGGCGGGACCTCCGTCCTCGCCTGGCTCTTGCGTCCTCGGAGGCGCCCCTCTGCGCGCTTCCGTATTCCTGGAGGGGGCTCTTCTCCTTGAACTCGGCGCCAGGGGGGTCTTCCGGGCGCTGCGCTCTTGCGTCGGTTCCCTGGGACTGGGCCCCCTTCCCGCCGCTGCACAGGGCCCGGGATGCTCCCAAGCCGGAGCTGCCGGTCCCTGCTCGGCATTTCCCCCGCTGTGGGCATCGCCTCACTCGGCCTTGCCCCTCCGGATGCGTCGGGCTACGGCACTCACTGGCCTCACTTCGCATGGCCAGTGCGCAGAAGCGCTGAGTGTGGCAGTCCAAAACTTCTGGAGGATCCCAGGACGGAGAGAGCAAGTCTAGGCGTCCCACCCCAAAACTTCTCCCGCACCCCCAGTTCTGCCTGATGCACTGCAGAATGCGCGTTTGCTGGCTCTTCCTTTTCCCCCTTCTGCCCCCCCCCCGCTCCCAGGACGGTCACGGTACTGCCTACCGCCCTGCCTCCTTTCCTTCTGGAGACTCGCTCGGTGGCCTCGCTGCCTCGAGGCTGCTGCTGGGCTGCGAGTCTGGCCCTGCCTCGTGTGGGCTGCAGCCGAGCCTGCGTCCAGAAAGCGGCACCAAAACGAACAGCCACAGTTGGCCGGGCAGCCCTGTTGGTTTTTGCCGGACTGCCTGGTCATCGTTTCCCTCCCCGCCGTTCTCTTTGTGTTCCTCCCGCGCTACTAACGCTGGGCTTCCACGCGAGGTGGGGTGTCCCCTGGACACCGAGGGTACGAAATGCAATGATCATAATTAAAGCACGGTGTTCTTTATGGGAAGCCTTGGGGTTCCATACAAGGTTGGCTGGGGGTTGCTTCCAGCGTGAAGCCTTCTCCGAAGCTTTCCTCTGAAAACTGAGTCTGTTCTCTTTGGGACCAAAGGTGAAATGGTTAATGGAAGAATTTGCATTACACCAGCAGTGGCAGGGCACTGATCCATGTGCTTCCTTCCCAGGCTGCTTGTGTCAACACCGATGAGCGAATCTTGTGTCGCTGAAGCGCCTGTGCGGACCTGCACGAGTTCCTGGAAGAAGCAAGCTTCTCATTGCCCCTCCAATGGAAGGGACGTGATGTCTGGACCGTGTGTGGCTCCCAGTTCTGTCGACCTAGTCTGGAGGGCTGTGGACATTTTGCTGGAGGCAAAGGAGAGATGGGACCATCTGTCCTAAGACTGGAAGGGTGGGTTGTGGGTGGCTTGCCCAGGAAAGAGGAACCAACAGGAGAGAATCAGAAGGGAACTTCAACACCCTCCCGCGGTTTCATGTTTCCCCAGGGCAAGGCTCTTGTTTCTTGTTTGTTTTTTGTTTAAAAAGCAGAATGTTAACTTTCTAAATATGTCTCAGATTTCTGAGAATAATTCCTGTATTGTATATTACAATGAGGTGCTTCTGAGAATATTGTTTTACAATAGTTTGAGGTTTCATTATTAAACAATGCATATTGCTGTACAAAACGGGGGTTTTCCGGACTTTGGTGTTCATGTTGTGGCTTCCTCTGGAAACGGCAGGACCGGTCCCAGACCAGGTTCTGGGACAGGCCTCCCCAGAACGGGATGTGGGGCCAAGTTCTGGGTCGCAGATGTGAAGCAGTTCGTTCTCGAAGCACAGACACTGGCCAAGTTTCTTTCCCTCCTGAGCACGTGGGATGGAATCTGTAGGGCTCCTTGTGTGCCCTGGCACTTCTCTGGGGAAGATCTTGGGCCTTCCTGGCTGCTCCCTGCGCAGCTTGGCACAGCCTCGCCCAACCCACATGCTCTGGGCTATCTGGACTGGGAACTTCCATTGGGCCCAGGTGGCACGGAAGGCGATGGGGAGTGAGTGAACTGGGCTAGCCCGGCCCTCCCCAAGCCAAACAGCTTTCACCTGTGTTGGATGACAGCTCCCATCAACCCCAGCAGGCCCTGCTGGCTGGAAATGGTGGGAGTTCCTCAGCACTTCCAGAGGGTGGCTGGGTTTGTGTCCTTCCCACATCTCCGCAGTAATTGTTCTACAAAGTTAAGGTAAGCGGAAGGATGTTCTCTGTTCCAAGGAGACCACAGTTTCTCTAGGGCCCTGCCTATATTGCCCAACTCCAAAAGCAACCTCAAGGTGCTGCCTCGCCTTGTTTGCCTTCCTAATGACCTCGTTTGGCACAGCCTTCGCATCCCCACCTGAGACTGGGGCACTGGCGCTGGGAGAGGCTGCCCACCAGCTGGCCCCCGTAATAATGCAGGTGAAATCCCCCCCCCCACTCTGGAAGGAGCTTTCACAGAAGCTGGGTTGCTCTGGGAGGGGCGAGAAGGTGAGCTTTGCTTGGTGCTTCATGGGCCAGGAAAGCACTAGGCTGCCCCAAGATAGCCCAGTGGCAGTGGCGGCTGGAAGGATACACAGTTGGTTATCTGAAGCATCCGTGTCCTTTCTGGTGTGTGATTGAAGGCCCTTTGTGATGGCCTGTGAGGTTTGCAGGCCAGCCTGGACTTAGACAAGTGGTAACCAAACCGCCTGACCTTGTAAAGGAAGAACCGGATCCCCCATCCCAAAAAAGGGCTTTAATCTTCAGCTTTGTACTGGCCCAGCTTGCTATTCTTAAAAGATGCAAACCAAGCAGTGTTGCCCATGGGTCTCAGTGTTCCTCACCTGCAGAATGGGAACATTTCAGTGGGCCAAAAAGGTTGGGTTGTTGGGTAGTCTAGAAATACAGTGGGCTAACATTTGCAGCTGGCTCCTTTGCCCTCCAGTGGGTAAGTCTTGTGTGTCTGGTCAGCAGGGATTCCACAAACCTGAAGGTTGCCAGCCCTTGGCCATATGCAGAGTGCCGCTCTGGAACAGTGGCGGGGACATTGAATCTGCTGGGCCGATTCTGAGGGATTATTACTCCCCAAACTTCCCCCTCCGTCGAGATCCCAGGCATGTTTGCACACTCCTCCACAACCCAGGAAATGACAATTTCCCTGGGAGCCCAGCTGATGACAATCTGGGGAATCTGACCCAACAGCAGCGATACTGGGTGTAATAATCCCAGGCAGAAGGCACCACCAGATCATAAAGGGCTTTGACTAATGGATTTTGGCCACTGTGAAGTGTCATAATCTGCTGTGGAATCCCCACCCCCGTCCTTCCCAGAGGGCAGGAAGATGCTTCAGCGTTCTGGCCTGGGCTGATGGAGAGCTCGGCAGTTGCTTGTCCGCCACATCTCCTCTGCATTCCCGAGGACCCATCCCATCCCATCCTCGGGGGGGGGGGGAGAGGTGGGCCAGCCAGGGGTCTTGGCAGGCTGCCCCTCTCAGCAAGGTGGCCAAGGCACCGCTATTCCCCGGTTGCAAACAAGCCGCTCTTGGCTCTGAGCTGCCACAACTGCCCTGCTGTAGCTGCAGCTGTTGGGCCACGGAGAGGGTGGCAGCCATGCCAGACCAGCCTGAAACCGGAACGCAGCAAAGTCATCCAGAGCTGTTTTGATAACAGAACGGCTGCCATTGCTTGACCCCCCGCCCCCCACAATGATAAATCCATCGGGGACGAGGGTCTCTGAGCCATAGCAGCTTGTCCCTGGTCAGAAAGCCAAGTTCCTGGCCCTGGTTGCAGAAGTAGCATTTGAAAAACAAACCTGGGGGGGGGGGGGGGGGCTGAGCTCTCCCACGCTGGAGGCCTTCAGGATGCAGCTGGGCAGCCATCTGTCAGGGAAGCCTCGGCTGGAGGCCCACCCGAAGCGGGACCTTGGCCCCGATGGCCTTCCTGGCCCCTTCCAACTCTACTCTTCCATGAAAACAACCCACCCTTTCAAAACAAAGATGCCAACTGGTGTCTTGCCTTCCTGCAAACTGGCGAGCAAGCAAGAGCGCCCTCGCCCTTCTGGCAACCTGAGAACGTGTCTTTGCCTCGTCTGTCCTGAAAGTTGTTCCCAGCTGGGGGAGCCCCGCGGGGGGAGCCAAAAGGGATCCTTCGCGGGCAATTTCTGCCTCTCCCTTCATGTGTGATCTTGTGCGTATTCAGCACAGGTAGGTGGGGGATGCTGGAGGCCGGGGGCATTTTTCCTGAGTAGGCATGCATCGAATCGAGCCCTAAGGCAGCCTTTCCCCAGGCCAGCACTCCTCAGATGCACTGGACTGCAACTCCCATCACCCACCACCAGCTAGCCAATTGGCCTGCTGCTTGGGCACAGTGGGAATTGTCATCCCAGCCATCTGGAGCAAGGCTCGGGCTTGGGCCCACCGGTCCCCCGAGGAAGCAGCCCTTTGAAAGACGGCCAGGGCAGCCTGTCCCACCCCCTCCCTGGCAGGACCCCCACACGCCACCACACAAGCTCCACTCTGCACTGTCCTCTTTATCCCACACTGATGCCATTGCTAGATTTTCCCGGAGCTCATCTCCCTAAAAAACATCCCGCAGAGCGTTCCACCTGAGCATCTCTCCACCCATGCAGGGCGAGGGAGCCCGGCCTTGGCTTCTCCAGCCCAAAGGTCTCCCCCACTCCTTCGCCAGCCCCTCGTGCCTGCAGCCCCTTCTGTGACTGGCCGATGTCCTCTCCCTGGTTCCCTTCCAGCCCAGCCACAAAAGCCACCTTGCCCATGAAACCCTGGCGCAGCCTCAGCCCCATCTCCGCTGCCACTGAGCTCAACGGAGAAGCTTCTCTGCCAGCGTTCGCCTTTTGCCGCCACCCTTTTGACCAGTCTGACAACTGTAGGCGCCTTGGGGGCAGAGGCCCGCTCTTTCGGTGGGTTGGGGCTCGGGGTCGTGCAGAGGGATCACACACAGCAGTTACGGCGTGGTAGGAAAAGAAAGGTGCCAGCGGCAGAGGCCTGAATATGCTTCTTCGTGTTCTTGTGTCCCGGAGGGCAGGGTAGAACCCAGCCCTGGATGCCCCCCAGAGAAACTCTGCAGAACAGCTTCTCCCCGCCCCCGCAAGGCAGCCTTGCCGGCGGCGGTGGGGGTGGCACGGCTGGTGGCATTTGCTGCCTCGCCCGCCCGCCCGGGATACTGACCCTGCTGGAGAGAGGGAGGGAGGGAGGGCCTCCCTCCCAGCCCATCTGGAGCCTGGCTGGGGCTGCCTGTTTGTTAATGTTTCAGTCAGCTGTGCGCTCTGGAATGTGCAAGCTATTTAACCTGAACTTCTCCAGGTGTGCGGAGGCGCCTGGCTGTCTGCGGCGCCCGGTCCTTCCCAGGCCGCCTCGCCTCCCTTTGGCAGCACACAGTCCCGCGAACACGCCTCCCCGGCATGCGCGCACCGGCACACGCGGGCGGACAGCTGCCTCCTCTGGCTGATGACCCCCGCCCCCGCCCTCCCCGCAGCTGCGAGCGGCCCTGGGAACAGAGCTGCGTTGCACAAGGAAGAACGGGCGGCGGGGCAGGAAGGGAGAGGCGCGCGGAAGGACCCGTGCGCGCGTGGCCACAGGGCGGCCGCTTTTCAACCCGCGCCTGGAAAAATTAGATTAGCCTCTTCGGGCGATGCTGGTGGGGCGCGGGGGGGGGCGACTTCTCTCGCCAGCCCCGCATGCATCAAAGAAAGGGACTGCGGGTGTGCGGGGGGGGGGTGCTGTCCTCCAGCCTGATGCCCTCAGCTGTGCTGGCTGGGGATCACGGGAGTTGTGGTCTAACGGATCTACAGGGCCCCAGCCTGGAGACAGCGGCTTTGCAGGCACTGTCTGGGAGGCATGGCGCTTCCCATCCAGAGTGCAGGGAACGCGGTGTCCGGTTCCCACACGGCAGAGCTGATCCGCCCGGGAAGCCCCCAGACAGAGTGGGAGTACCTGTGCACAGGAGCCCCAGCACCTGGTCCTGGGAAGCCCCCCCCCCCCCGCAAGTGCTCCAAACTGGCAGCAAATTCCACAGGTTATGCTTGCCCTGTGTCTGTGTGAGAAGTGCTTTGCCCTTTTATCAGTCCCGAATCTCCATCTAGTTTCGCTGGATGCTCCAGGGTGCAGCCATGAAAAGCCTTATCGGGATTGGATTGCAAAAATGCCCTTGGCTGTTGCATCTCTTTGTGAAGCCTGCAAGCCTTGAGCAAGGGTGGTGCCCGGCCCATGTGCCTGCTGCGAGGAGGCCTGGGCACGCCCAACCACATGCGTGAGAGGAGCAGTCCCTCTTCAGTCTGGGAGGCTTCCGGGGTGACCCGTGTCCTGCGTGGAGACCCACAAGCACCATCCCCATCTGGGGGCTACTGGGGACCAGCCAGACACTGGCCGATTAGCCAGGGCAGCTTCCTAGATGATCGGAATGTGTTCAGTCAAATGTTGGAACCCATCAGTTAACTGAGCACTGCAGTCCTAGAATTAAAGTCCCGTCTCATTTCAGAGCGGCTGCTCAAAGTGGGGTGAATATTCATTGGCTGAATGTACATCTTGCTGCCTTTGTTCTTGCAGGGGCCTGCGGGTCTCCTTTCATTCTCACAACAACGACCCTGTGAGGTAGGTTAGGTTGAGAGTCAGGGAGCAGCCCAAAGTGAGTGTCACGTCTGAGTGAGGACTGGAACCAGGGGATC